TTACGGAATGCAAACCTTTTGTTGCAAGGAACTTGCATCCTTGAGGATGTGCAATACATCATCGGTCTTCATATTTAGCAAGTGATCGATGATTGGATTGACCTCCTCCTGAGGTATGCTAGGAATAGATTTAAATCTTTTCTGTAGTTCCGACATTAAAACTTCTCTGCGAGCCTTCGGTGCCAACCCGGCGAGATCTTCACGTCCAAATTCATTAACGGTATTTATAATGAGTAATTCCGAATTACGCCTAGAAGGGACCCGGCTCTCAGAGGGAGATGCGGGACTACTGTTATAATGATTTGCCAACTTGGCTTCACGTAATTTCTTGGGTTCGTGAAGCCTGACAACAATTTGTTTATTTCCCAAGGTCTTTCCATGCATGGATGCCTTGGCTCTGTCTGCTTCATCGGCTGAAGTATAACTGACAAAGCCGAAGCCCTTTGAATTACCGGTTTCCTGATCTCTCATGACACGAGCACTAATGATCCGACCATATCGACGAAAATGATTGAAAAGATCACTACTGGAAATATTGGCGTCAAGATTCTTGATAAATAAATTGCATGGGTCAACATTCGGACCTTCTGGACCCGGGGATGAAGGTGTTTGCATGTTAAACTTATTTGCCGGTGGAGAGAACGAACCCTATTCCGTTTGAAATGGATATAACGTTGTTCCTTGTTATTTCTTCTTTAAAATGTTCGAATTCGAATAAATTAGGGAAAGTCAATCGAAAAACCTACTACAATAGTGGTCATATTAAGATTAGGCATGTTTGTGCGAGAGGTAGATTTCTGTCTTCCAATAAATTTTGTCACTGTGCTATTTATTTAAAAAGGCAGCGGAAATTAGAGAAAAGAAGTGTATCCACAAAATCACGAAGACTACCACACACACACGTACATATTCTTTCCCTCGATCGGTTGACAATTCTGGAAGAGAAGTGTTGTAACGATGAGTATTGAGTAATTCGAAAGGAAGACGAGATGCCTGGGCGTAATAATGAGCATACCATTGTCATAATGGCTCGATCTGCATCTTCTTGCCTAAAAAATTGAACAAGGGCATTCCCATTCCCATTCCCTTTATTCTTCTTATCCTGATACTGCATCCTTGTGGAGAACAAGGGTCCGAATGGTCTGAAGAGGTCGAAAAGAATTAGGTTTGTGGTGGTAACAGGCAATTGATCCACTTGCAAGATGTACGCGTTCGACTGCGGTTCATTGCTGGAGTGATTGGTTGGATCAGTAATTTGTAATCTTAAATAAGTCTTATAAGCTTCCAACATGATGTTGTTATAGATTGCGAATGCCTTTTCAGCTGATTTGTATAATCAATTTTGATTAGAAGCATTAAAAACAAGAGTATTATGAAAAATTTAACCAAGCAATTGTTTATACCATTTTCTATCGACGAAAAACGAATGACGCCATTTAAAGGTATATTGATATTTCCAGGTTGACGATGAATAGTAACCCTTTTTTAAAATGAAAAATGAAAAATGAAAACAATCCAAACATTCAAATACAGGTTTAAAAAAAAAAAAAAAAATGAACGGGAGAAAATTCACTGGAACAGTACTTACTCAATAGGATCGACATCCTTCAATGTTTTCTTTAGTTCTTCGTCGCCAACACTGATGGGCAAATCGCTAATGTAGAGTTCAGGTGTGCTCAAATACGAATCACTACGGTTCGCTGGCATCTTAGAGGAGGTTGTTTGCTTAATGAATATATTTTCCGTTGTCATTCCCAACTATAAATACTAAATCATAAATTTTTTTCCTTTTAGTTATCAAGCATAATTGTGACTAAAGACTGAAATTGCGCTGCGCAAGTTCATAGCATGACAACTATTATTTATATAATAATCGATTGGACGGAACGCCCGTGTTGTTTTTCCATGATACCTATACTTCATTAGGACAGGACTATGATGAATGAGCTGTGACGTATAATAACAAAATAATAATAACGGATTGCAGAAAGAGTAGCACGATGACAGTAAAAAGCGGTGTAACGTTTTACAGGGAGTAAGGTACGTACGAATGGAAACAAAGAAAAAAAAATTAGATTTTTCATAAATATTGTGAGCCGGATTTTTTTTACAATGGTAGACGTCCTATTTACTATCGTTTCAGGAATTTGCTTACTGCGAACGTTTATTTGAGAAATTCGATAGATGGAAAGATAAAGCGATGCCGCATACGAATACGTGTTTTACGCATCAGATTACATAACCTGCGGAAGGTTGCAGGTTCTGGCCGGATCGACGAGAAGACGGCGTAATTCTAGCCAAAAAAGATCAACCAATCATTTTTCGCAAAATGATAATACGCATAAGCATATATAATCACCCTTATATGTACAAACAG